TTGAGTAAACCCTGCTGCAATCCTAGACGCCTGATTCTTGCTAAAAAAGAATTACTAACGGAAAAATACTTACCAGCCGGAGCCCTAATAAGTTATTTCTATTGTCGCGGCCAAATGACAGTGCAGAGATAGAGTCACTGTACTTGATTGACAGATCACCACAATCAATCACACCCCGTCTAAAGCAAAACTGCTTTAGCATCTATGTCTACTGACATGGGATCATAATTACACCTTTAAGAGGAACATCAGCTGTGTTGAGAGAAGGACTTGAAAACAGACGATTAATAGATCAGAAGAAACCATGAAATAAAATATGGCGGTTTAATGAGGTAACATCAGGTGGGAAAGCGTAGTTTATGCCATTATTGCTGATGGATACTGGGCTTTCTTTGATCCAGTGAAAGTCGCTCTCTGTGGACTGTTGGAAAAGAAGTGCAGGCTTCTCGTGCACTCGACTTGCTTCTTCCTTAGACGGTTGGACCGTCTGTACCTTAAAATGTTGTAGTTTGTGGGTGAAAATGATTGAGAGAACGAATCTTGAAATGAGCGATGCTGAATCGCGATCGCTGAATTTGAATTTAGAGATCTGAATTGAATTAGAGTCTGGATGAAAGGTACATAAAGATGTTGAATTGTTAGTGAGGCTAAATGTCAGTTTCGGAAACTAATGAATTTCAAATTCAAATTATTGCCTATTCAGATTCAGTAAAAAAAACAAATCAAATTATGCAAATCAAATTCATTTGTAAGTGCAATTATTCAATGTGGGGCAATTCAGAGTTTCAGCTCGTTATAGATTCGAATTCAAATTCAGTTCTACTGGACACAAATATCAGCCCATACAGATGCAGCATTGTCTACTGAAGTACTACTTTATAACTTTTTGAATAATTCAATGATGGTTGATGTTTCAAATGGATTCATATTTCTTCATATTCTTATTTTCTTATAGAGGCCCTAAAGATTACAGTTAAGAATAACTATACTACTATGACCTCAGCTTGATCCAAGTCAGCTTTAACGGAAGTCATTATCTGTTTTGTCAGACCACAGTCAACACTTCAGCAAACTATCCAGGCTCAGATAGAATCTGAACGTGCATGCATGCATGCATGACATGTTTTGAGGGTGTGCTTATGTATTTGCGTATTATATGTGTATATTTGAATTTGAATGTATTTATGTATACATGTTTAGATAAGTTACAGATAAATACACAAAATTTAATCAATAATCTCGAAACTCTCACTGTGAGTTAAAGTATTTGACAGCTTATTGGGCCCCACAGATGAGTTTCCACAGTTGAGAGTTAACAACCAGTCACTGCTAACTATGGGATAAGCTCTCTGATTGAACACAGGTGTTGGCACTTCTCTTCTTTTGTCTTGGTTCCTAATGAACTCAAAGACACACATTTAACAAAAAACATGCAATTAATACACTTCTCTAGCTACTGCAGTTTAGTAGCAGCTAGTAAGTAAGTGGCTAGTATAAATTCAAGCTGTAATTTATCTAAAGTGATGCTAAGTGCCTGAAGGATCTGATGTCTTGAAGTATTTTCAGATAGAGTGTTGACATCAACTCTGGTAAAATCTTCTTTTTTCAGTTCTATGGCTGAAAATTAATGATAGTTTTGCAAATGCCCAAGAGTCAAAGCTAAAGTCAAAACAACATGAACAGACCTCCAACTACATGTGTTCAAAGGTAGTATTGTGGGGACTATATCCAGGTTATTAGAAACAGAATAATCAATCAGACACTATCAGTGTGTGCACCATTTGGGTTTTTGATGTTTATCTGGTTATCATTAGAGGTTTAAATCTTCAGAGCTCTGCTGTTCTTGTTAACCACATTCTCATCAAAACACTTACTTACACTACTGCAAAGGTACAATGATGGACCAACAGGCCTAACACCACTAAAATAAATATCATCTTATGTGTGTTATTGCTGCTACAGTATCACCCTCTTGCAGGGTTAATGGTCAAATTACAAATTACAAAACATTTTTCACTCTTTTGATATTTCTAAGAAATTCAGACAACTGGTCCTAGGCCAAGGACGTAGGTTTGGCAAAAACACCTGAGGAATTTCCTGTTATGTTCCAGAGAGAAGAGAAAAATCCTAGATATGGTCATGGGGTGTTAATCTGGAGAGACTGATTACTATGTCTGTGCTAATGTAGTCAGATTGTATTAAAATGTCTCTTTATGTACTGTTTCTGCAGAACTTATATATATATTTTTATTAAATGCAATAATAGAACAATAAAAGTGTTATTTTCTGAAGATCTTCTGTCTGCTGCTGATTTTTTCTGCCACCAAAGAATAAAAGCGAATATCACACATAAATATGTCATAGACTGAATCAGTATTAAGGAGTGACTCCTTAATTATCACAGGAACTATAGATGTTGTATTTATTTGCATTACATCAGACACATTGACAGTTAAGTGAGAACAAGAGAGAAGCATGAGTGCTGGTTTATATTTCCAGGTAAGAATACGATAAAACATTACAAAACCGTATTAATATTATTAAATATTCCTCTTTTAACTGAGAGAGACAAGTATTGTTTGTAACATGGTGAGTAGCAAAACTCACAAATGTCCTTACACTATACTATCATCACACAAACAGCATATCTACAGACTAGAAAGTAAGTTGAATGTCTACTTGTACTTTTTTGCTATACATATACCTGTACTGCCTGCTGTAACTGCTGCACATGTTAATAGTGTTCATGCAGTAAATATTGTATATATAGTGGGGGACTGCTTATTCTATATACTATATGATGCTATACATTGCTCTGCACTCTCTTACACTGCAGAAACAATAAAGTTGAATCTAATCTAATATCTGATATAAACTGGCTTCACAATGTAAAATGTTGTTGTGCATTCAAGATTTACAGGTTCTTCTTTTAGCAATTGCTCCCTGCACAGAAGAGTTGATTCTGGCTGACTTTAATTTAAATTTAACAGGTGAACCCAAATGCAAAACACAGACAGAGGAATGGAGGATGAGAAGAAGAGAAAGAACTCCATCTGGCAATCGTTGAGGATTGGGGGAAAATGGAGGATGGCTGAGGTGTGAGTGAAGGCAGAGTGGCAGCCTGGCGAAGCAAGAGCTTGATGATCTAAGCTTGTGAGCATGGCTGGCAATGAGAGAGGAGTGCCATGCCCATATTGCACACATGAGAACCAGAGAAAGCAAAAAAAACAACAAAAAAAACTAGAAATTCTAACACAAGGAAAGACTGGAGTCATGGCACTGATCATAACAATTGGACTATAGTTTCAACCACAAACCTGCCTCTGCCCAGCTGTCCCAGCACTTTTTGTTATCTCACTTCTAGTAGTAAACCTTCCCTCTGTTGGGTTGAACATCTCTGTTTGCGCTGGGGTCCAATATTTGTCTAAATAATATAGGAATGCATCCAAAATTACAAGAAAATCATATTAGTACAACAACTCTGACTCTGGTGACCTCTTACTGTAGTTGTAATATGACTCCAAATATCATTAAAGGACCAAAGATGGATCTCTGGAGACCCCAACTAGTCCCTGTCCTTTTGCCCTCAGACTTCACAAGTCCCCTCTTGGCTGATGTAAATTGTATGAGGGTATTATTATTATTTTTCAACAATGAGGGAAATGCACACTATGAAGAAAAATAAGACACATTCTCAAAACTCTGCTATTCATTGCTATTTTTGTTTGCCATTAAATTAGCTTTGCATTTCTGCAGGTTTGGTAAATTTGTGTTCTAAAGTGAACTTGCCAGCACTGGGTGGAGTGACTGAGCCGGGTGCGTTTTTCAAGGCGTTTGATAAGATGTTCCTTCATTGGTTCCTTCATTCCCCCATGGGAGACATTCAAGTTGACACAGCAGCACAGGGGAAATGTAGTTCAGAAGTGTAAAAACAATAAAGAATAATAAAACAAAAATATGATAAAGATATAAAAGAAAGTAAGACTATAATAAAAATATATAGACCATATGCAGTAGGCATTAAGAAAAATGCTATGCAAAAAAAATTTAAACAGTGTCTAACTAACTAATATCAGTGGCACTTTGCCACTTTGTCACCGTTGCCAAAAGCAGGTCTGAGGAAAGCGATAAACGCTGGCATATTTTGACGGTTGCGCCCATGCACGCATGCACCTCTCCAAAATCATGTACACGCCTTCTTGAATGTAATGCTGGCTTGTTTCACACAGATTACTGTATTCTCCAGATGAGAAAAAACACACAGACCGGAATGAATATGAGGAAGTGACTTCTTAATTATCACAGGAAGCAGACACTGAATTATTTTTCAAAAGCAGCTCATGAGATACTTTGACAGATGATAGTGAGACCAACAGAGAAGAATTATGGTTGAATTCAGATGGATTACTTTTTCTTTATTTCTGATGCTTGTGTTTCATTTTCCAGGTAAGGATACAATAAAGAATCATTACTAAACTGCATTCATATTTTTAATGGTACATTATTCTTTTAAGTGAGACATTTCTCTCTCTTTTTCTCAACAGCAGCAACTTGGACATATTCTTCCTTCAATGCCAGAGTTGGAGATGAAGTTACTTTGTCTTGTGAAAATATGATAGATGATCAGGATAAGTGTGACAGTATTAACTGGGTCTTTGGTGATACAAGAAAAATAGTAACGCTGTTTGAACGTGGGCAGATTCACAGAGTCAACACTAAATCAGACAGACTGAGTGTTACACAGAACTGCTCTCTGGTTGTGAAAAATGTCACAGTTGAGGATGCTGGTTACTACACCTGCAGACAGTTCATATCAGGAAAACGTCGAGATGCTCATGTTTATCTGTCTGTTCTTACCAGTGAGTATTTACATCATAATGTTTTCAGCTCAAACTGTCTTGTTAGAACAAAATACTGAAACATTACAATAATTATGATTATAGTGATGAAGTTCATTTTACTTTTGTTGTATTTCACTCATAGTATTTATGTTTTCACCAGTGACTAAACGCTGATTACATGACGTCCAGCTCTTTGTCGACTCGCAAACTATTTGTTTAGATTTTAGGTTTTAATATTCTTTGTTGTTTGTTTTATGCAGGTAAAGGTTACGTTTTTTTTCCGACTGTACTGTTTGATGCATTTTGTTCTTGTTTGTTAAGGTAAGGCTGCAACAACGACAACTACAATATCGGCAACAACGATTAAATCAACACCGACAACAGGAAATATATGGACAACAATGCAAATGAACACATTAGAAGGGACAAAAGAGACAGCATCTACAAACAAACATAATGAAACAAAACAAGGTAGTGACTGAACACAACAGAACTACATACAGAAAGGAAAGGCATGCAGTAAAAAGACACTTAATTTATTAGCAAGACAGGACAAGAACATGCTTACAAACAGCTCATCATCAGAACTCTTTTGATTATATGTAACCAGCCTTTTCATATAGTTTATTACATTTCTACAGCCATCTGAAGGCAGCAGCGATGCACAGTTACGTATGTGTTATGCTTTAGTTCAATCATTTGCCACCAGCAGGATCTTGCACAAGGATACAGACCACTTTGGTTCTATACACACCAATCTGGTGGCCTATAACTTCAAGATAATAGGGTGGAAAAGTCATCACTCAGTCATCACTCTTCATCCAAATACGCCACTTAGCAACTGCCTGCGTCTCCTTGTATAGCTCCTGAACCATGATGTTTTCATTGCCAACAGAGAATGGCGCGTGGCTGTGATAAGGTGTAGAGCAGAGACATGCCTGTAGTTGTTGGGTTACATCTGATTCTAGTGAACAGGAAATAAGTGTTGTTGTTTTATTTTGTTGTATTTTTTATAGATTTTCCACATTTCACTGGAATTTTGAAGAATACGTTAGCCTGTTTAAGTCAGAATTATGAGCAGTTTTCTGTTTTAACCATCATCAGTTCAAAATACTATTCCAGTCACATTTTTTATTGTTTCTTCATTGAAAGCATTAACATGTAGTTCTGACTACTGCACTTTAATTAATAATTAAATTATTATATTTTTCATTTAATGTAGAGACAATTGTTAAATGAAAATAGGCAACCTTCAAAATGATTGAAACAAGGTTTACTATGCTACAAAGCTTGTATCAAATAGTAAGTATTATTCAAATTCCCAGAGAAATATGTGACAAATTGTGTACAAAACATAAAATTTTTTCTGTTTGTTGCATTTCTTTATTGTTAAGGTGATGCTGCAACAATGGCAACTACAATATCACCAACAACAATGAAATCAACATCAACAATAGGAAATATATGGACAACAGTGAAAATGAGCACATCAGAAGGGACAAAAGAGACAGCATCTGCAAACAACAATAATGAATCAAAACAAGGTAGTGACTGAACACAACAGAACTACATACAGAAAGGAAAGACATGCAGTAAAAAGACACTTTTTAATTCAGACATTAGAGATAAAGAGACAGTACAAGAACACACCCACGAACAGCTCATCAGACAAACTCTTCCAACTATATGTAACACTGCTAAATTCTCTTTACAGTGTGGTGGCAGTTCGTCATTGTGTTTGTGGCACTCTCAGCACTCTTAATAATCCTTCTGGTTGTCACCAGATGGAATAGAAATAAAGGTGAGAGCAACCACTGATTAAACTTTTAAAAACAAGAAGTTATGATAAACCTGGGTTTTCACTGTGGGAACTGAAATCCTATTTTGTGTTTTCAGGAAAAAAAAAACAGATGGATGAAAACATGGTGAGTTTCAAAGCTTAATAATAAAATGTGCGTTCAGGTTCTTCCGACTGTATTATATCATACTTTTAACGCAATGACACAAGACGGGCGAGGGGTTGATGGATGGACGGAAATGTCCTCTGGGCCAGCAGTTTGTTTTAACCCAAACATGATCTTCTCCTAAACCAAGTACTTTTTGTTTCTTAACCTGACCAAACTGTTTCACGTGTTTAACATAACGTACATAAGGACCAGTACTTCTGCTGCTGGTTCTCTCCACCGGTCACGTATGTCGTATCGTCATTGGCAATATGACCTAGTCTGTCTTTTAGGCATGAAGACGTGTTGTCTAATAACTATCACTCTGGTTCCCTTGAGCAAGGAGCTAAAGTCCAGCTGTTTCTTCAGAGCTGCTCTGTATTTCAATATTTATTTGCTCCATTTTCACCCAGAATCTTAAATGTGTTGTGTTTTTTTTCACAGGAGCATAATGACAAAGATGAAGATGATGGCATAGTGAACTATGTAAACGTTGGAGACCCTTCTGTCTCTGTCAGACTCTAATGATCATCAACATCAACTCACCAGAGAAATGAGCCCACTGCTGTTAAATGTCCTAAGTAGACCACAGACTCTTAACATCAGTTTAAGATTTTGGATGACTGAATGTTATTTTTATTTATCGCCATGTGTACTTTACTTTGAGCTGGACAAAGATGCCCAAGTCTTGATTTCTCACATTAGGTAGCCCACTATGAGTTTTTAAAAGGCCTTTTATTGCCTCAGTTGTGAAATGTTTTTTTTATCTTTAGTCAGTTTAGAGCTGGATCTTAACTTAATATAACAGGAAAAATAATTTATTATTATTATATGTTCATTTATTTCTCATTTAATATCTTTAACATATATACTCACGTAACCATACCAGCCAGTTCTCATTCCCAACTTGTCTAATATGGCAGCTTGATCATCCCACACTTCGAGGTATGACACTTTAGGTGTCCCTTTATGGATGCACCTGTCTAGTGTAATGTCTTGATGTGCGTTTGAAGTCAGGTGACTTACTATAAAGAGCGGAAAAGTCTGCATTTGGAGGTGGTTTGGGTGGATTGATCGGTCAAACAAACTTTCAACATGCTTATTTTAATCCAAACATTAACTTTTCCTCAAACTAACCGAGTAGTTTTGTGCCTAAACCAAACAAATATGTTTTGCCAAACCAAACTGTGCCTGTTTACACTCACATAAAATGTAACTTTTTCTCAGTATGCTGTATTTTAAAAAGTATAACTGGATCGGTTGCATATTTATTATTGCTAACTCGACGGCACGAAGCCCTTCATATGTAGAAAAGATGCTAGGGGGCTACCTATAGTGTCATAGGTTGAAGCATAGTGCCACTGAGCAAGCTGCTGTATGTGACGAATTGGGAGTGAAAATGTGTTGCCTATGCACATGTATGCTGTTGTTGTATATACAGTATCTGATATATAGTTTGTACACCGTTTTCATATCCAGTTGTTTATTCTGTATATAATGTCTTACTATTAGCATTGCTTGTACTTACAGCTGCACTACATATTTTATACTTATACCTGCACTGCCTCCAGTAACTTCAGTGCATGCATGTTCTAATCTACCTGTATTGTTTATTCTATAAGTTATATACTGTATGTTAAGTGAAAGCAGCTGCGAAAACTTGTCTGGCCACCCCAGCTGTAACCCCAGTTTGGTATTAAATATAACATATGCCACCTTCAGATATTTTTATTCAATTCTTTACTCATTTGCCACAACAATGTAATGGTTGTGAGTTAAATTATATTCATCTGGGGGGTTTTAAGCACATATTGATATATGAGATTGTTTGCAATACAATCAGTATATACTTCTGCCACCCTTAAAGTCTCAATGCCACCCTCTTGCCACCCCATGAATATTTCTATAGATCCAAAATGACCAGAAAATGCACAAAAGTGAAATAGCTTGGGCTACGTTCCGAAGTGTTCATGGTGGATCCACATGACTTCTTGCTGTAGGTGTGATATGACTCCAAATTATAATAAGATATTATTAAAGACCCAAAGACTCTGCAGTGTGCATAGCATGAAAAACCCTGAAGTGGTGACGTCAAACAAACTAGGGTAAGTTCCTCTTTTTTTAGTTCTATGGCCAAGAACAAATGTATAACTTTGCAAAAAGCCAAAAGTCAAAACAACACAAACAGCCGCTACTGCTATATGTTAAAAAGTAGGACAGTTCAGTTAGATGCTCATAAATGTGTTCATCATTTGTGTTTATGTGGCCATCATTAGAGCGTAAAACCACCAGAGCTCTGCTGCACTTGCTAACCACATTCTCATCAAAACACTTCTCCTTTACTTTTAAGAAATATATAGAATGAGGAAGCAACAGGTCTCAGACCACTAAAACATCATCTTATCTGTGTCCTTGCAGCTGCTACAGTATCACCATATTGCACCATGGACATCAAGAGTCAAATGGACGAGGAGTTTGACTCTTCACGCCTGTACTGTTAATGGTTGCTTGTCCAACATCACCATGACTTCCTGTCTTTTTGCTAATAAACTATCTAAATAAAAACCCAAGATGCACCATTGCAAACACTTATCTTAACTAACAATCTTTAAAGATGCATGCAATATAAAGTTAAAATGTCACAAAGTTTTTTACTATTTTGTTATGCACAAGAAATTCAGATATATTAAAAAATAATATCACAAAAGGAAATTTGAGACAACACAAACCGAAGTGAGTATAGGGAGGGGACTCGTCAGCTATCACAGGAAGTAGACGCTGCATTAATTTTAAAGAAGCAGCTCATGAGAGACTTGACAGTTGAGAGTGAGACCGAGAGAGAAGAACAATGGTTGAATTCAGATGGATTACATTTTCTTTATTTCTGATGTTGGTGTTTAGTTTTCCAGGTAAGGATACAACTTTTGTTTGTAACATGGTGAGTTTGGTGAACTCTTGTAAACCAAAAATTAGATTTTTTAAATTATCTTTACACTAACACTGAACATATTTATGTTTCAGTTTATTTTTCACGTCTCTCACTTTTTCATCAACAGCAGCAACTGGGAATTCCTCCTTCGCTGTCAAAGTTGGAGGTGATGTCACTTTGCCTTGTGAAAATTTGATACCTGATCAGAATAAGTGTAACAGTACTTCCTGGGTCTTAACTGATTTAAAAACCACAGTAACGAAAGCCAAAGTTAAATCAGACAGACTGAGTCTTACAGCGGACTGTTCTCTGGTTATAAAGAAGGTCACAGTTAATGATGTTGGTCTATACACCTGCGAACATTTTAAATCAGGACAGCGACAATTATCTCCGGTTCATCTGTCTGCTGTTGTCAGTAAGTATTTACATCCTAATTTCTTCAGTTCAAACTGTCCTGTTAGAACAAAATACTGAAACATTACATGAAGTTAATTTTACTTTTGTTGTCGTTCTCACCTAAAATCTCCATCTTCACCAGTGACTAAAAATGAAAAGAATGATAAGATGACGTTGTCCTGCTCTGTGCCGTCTCATGGATGGTGTTTACACAGAGTGAAGTGGCTGTATGAGGGTCAACATGTGGATGGAAACAACAAAGACATGGAGACATCTGTGTCTGAGTGCTCAGTTACTGTGACATTTCTTGCCTCTTATCTCAAGCAGAAGTCAAAGTTTCATGAGTTGTTCAAGTGTGAAGTGACTAATACTAACAGTAACAAATCGCAGCTGTTAACTTTCAGCCGTCACTCCTCAGGTGAGAATATGATGAGCTGTTTAAAATCACTTCAAACTGATAAGTAATTACACAAAATGTTTGTTTTTGATCTGATTTGAGGTTTTACTATCACATCATTCTGTGCCATTTGTATTGTGCAGATGCTTATGTTTGTAAGATGCTCATGTTCATCGCTTTTATTTATTTAATTTGTTAAGGTAAGGCTGCAACAGCAGCTACAATATCAACAACAACAATTAAATCAACATCGACAACAGAAAATAAATGGACATCAGTGAAAACGAGCACATCTGAAGGGACAAACAAAACAGCATCTAAGAATAATGAAACAAAACAAGGTAGTGGCTGAACACAACAGAGCTACATACAGGAAGAAAAGACATGCAGGCAAATGTTTTTTGATGGACGTAGACCAACACTATTTCTGAGTATATGTAACACTTGTCTTTCCAGTATGGTGGCCGTTCATCGTTGCTTTGTCAGCACTCTTGATAATCGTTCTGGTTGTCATCAGATGGAAGAGAACTAAAGGTGAGAGCAACCACAGATTAAACTTTTATGAACAAGAAGTTTTCACCAGATTTTCACTGTGGAAACTGAACTCAGCTCTCTTTTGTCTTTTCAGGGAACAAAAGACAGATGGATGAAAACATGGTGAGTTTTAAAACCGAATAATCAAATGTGCGTTCAGGTTCTTCGGACAAAAACAAAGCGAGTTTAAAAACTGAAATATCAAAAGTTTCTACAATACGATTTAAAAAAATTTAAGCAGGGTTTGTGTTTTTTGTTATTCACTATTAACTGTGTAGGTCTACACTGGAAATAATAAAAAAACAATAAACATCGCTGATTTTATTGCAAGTAAGCGTTTGTGCAACTGTCAAATTATGCTTTGTGTGAATACAAAAAGAAAAATGGGAAAAACACGATATACCAGCAGCACAAACTACAGCCTCCAATGACTACTGAGTTGAACCAACTGCTCCCTGACTCAGTGTATTTAAGTCTTATATTGGCAGTATTTGCTGTGGGACTATTGCATTGTGTGTTGAAAATGTTCGTCCATTCGTCCATCACATTATCACTACTTAAAACCACACCTGCTTACGTTTTATTACATTGCAAAGCCAGACTCATAGACACGGTAAGATCAAACACTACATCCATGCATATCACGCATGACAGACGTAGCATGAAATTTGGCTGGGGGGGCCAGATTGACTCTTTGGTGACCTGCATGAGAGGAGAAGAAGGAACTAGAACTTAATGCAGTTAAAGAGGTGTGAGTGAGTCAGTATGAGTCCACATGTTACTGAGCAGCCATGCTCTTGTCTTCTCTGTGTAGGCTGATCCTGAAGATGGTGTTTCCTACGCCTCCATCAGCTTCACCAGGACCAAAAGTAAAGCCCGGGTAAGCTGCCTAATGGATTATGGAAATCATTTAAGTTGATATATGATATTAATATGATCAATCAGGTTGACAGTCTCTGTTGACATGAAATTTGCTGTGAATATTCATGATCATGTATTTTTGGTGACCCCCTCACCTTGCCTATACAGTCTCCACCATCAATTACACAATCAAATCAAAGCAAAGTGAACATTTCGGCTGTTACTTAGCAGCACAACTGGGACTTATAGAACTCCTGTCAGGTTACAAATGTGTTTAGTTTACGTATGTCATTTATGAGTTGTACTCTTCCCCTCTAGGTTCGGGGTGGTGATGATGACGAAGCGGATACAGTGACCTACAGCACTGTAAAAGCTCCCTCATCTTCTGCTGGAGCGTCCACTGATCCCAGCAACCTCTGCTCTACTGTCAACAACCCAAACAAATAAGATGTTATCATTAAATACAGCATGTTGATTTAGCACAAGGTCTAAGGGATCTTATTTTGATTCAGCCTCATGGATGTCTTGTGATCACAGATCCAACTTTAGAGGAGCTGATACAAAGAAACCAGATGAGGATCACCTTTCACACAACACCTGCTCTATGACACATGTAGCCAATGAGAGACTTAAGACTCACTGTAGAGGTGGAAGAGTGAAAACGGAGGGAGATATGTTAGATATATATTGTATTTTTAATACTGTGTAAAAAAGTGTTTGTAAAAATGAGTTTTTGTTTGTTTTTGTTTTGTTTAAGGTCGTTACCCTCTTCATCTAACATTTAAGTGAATATTGCTTTTTGTACAGTATTTTGATTTTGGTATATATTCGATGACACATGTTCACCATTTTACTGAATAAATGGTTAGTCTGACAAGACTGCAAATTTCTTGCTCAGGAATTTGCACTCAAATACCTATTTGTCTTTTGACTTCTGGCCGCTTTGTCTATTTTCAGACGTGGAAGTTTTAATCGTGAGAAGAACAAACCACAAAACTCTTCTGCCCCTCCCACATTAACAGCAACAGCAATGACTTTAATCTTTCAATCTAACTCGCACACTACCACCAACACCTAGCTAACCATTGACACACCAGTATGTCTTATCGCATGCAAGTTGGTCAGTCTTGTTTTGACATTACCATGGTACATTAAAATATAAGGGAAACTGTTGTTCACTTTTAATATGTCTAACAAATTCTTGACAAAATAAGAAAAAGTGTCACGTTTTACGATCTGTATCTATGTATTTCTGCATGTTTTTCTTCACCACAGAAACACAGGAAGTGGCACGTGAGTCATCACTCTATCTGAGAAGCTATTAGTTCATTAGACACTGACACACTGATGTCTTTTTTTAATATTTCTTTCTCTCTTAAACATACACAGACAATCCAACATCTCAAAAAGCTTGCCTCAGCTCAGCTGGGCACTTTTTGTTCTTTCACCTCTAGTGGTAAACCTTCCCCTGGGTTGAACACCTCTGTTTGAACTGGGCTCTAACATCTGTTTAAATTACATATAAACACATCCAAGTTGCACTGTTGCAAACATTTATCTTAACGAACAATCCTCACATATTAAACTTCCTCTTCTTCTCTTTTTTCTTCTTCTTCTTTTTCTTCTTCTTAAGAAGTGAAACACGTCATTGTGAAAAAATGTGACTGATGGTCAGAAAAACTTTAACTATGCATGGCTGTTCAGTTGTTCCAGAAACACAGCAGCAGTAGCACTGTTTGAATATGAACAGATAAAGAAAGATATCAACTCTAAATCAGACAGACTTGAGTGTTAAGCGAAACTGTTCTCTGGTTATAAAGGGAAGGTCACACGTCGTGGAGGATGTTGGGTCTACATGCAAGACATTATATCAGAACAACAACAAGATCCAGACTCTCACGCTTTATCTGTCTGTTTTACCAGGAGTATTACATTCATAATTTTTCAGCTCAAACCTGTCTTGTTGTTAGAACAAAATTACTGAAACATTACAATAATTATATTATAGGGGATGAAAGTTCATTATACTTCTTGTTGTCTTTCTCTCACAATATCTCCATCTTCACCAAAGTGGGACTGAACATAAGGACACTGATAAGGGTTTTACATTAAACTGCTCTTGTCGGAATATGGACCATGTACACACACGCAGTGGAAGTGGCTGTATGAGGGTCAAGATCTTGGAAAAGATAACCAAGAAGTGAAGAACATCACAGTCTCTCTGCAATGTCTCTGTGACCCTTTAAGTCTTACTCTTTCATTTACACATCAAACTATAACTCATTGAAGTGTGCAGTGACTGATGGTAACAAAGGAGGCAGCAGTTCCTTCAGACTTCAGCCTCAGCCTCAGAAAACAAGGCTGGAGATTGTGAAAATGCTCTATAGTTACTCAAACTCGGAGTAAATAACTAACAATATTTAGATTTCTATTTTATGGATTTGAACGTTTTATTTAATATTACATCACAAACACAAAGTTTTTGAGTGTAAGTCCCACTGTTCAGAGAGGACACAAAACCAACAACAATCAAAACCAACAAGAAAACCAACAACAAGAGGTAAAACCCAACATCAACAGCGTCTACAAAAAAATGATACTTTAACAAACTAAAAGGTAGTGACTCAACATTTGTAGCTGTTCCTGTCTGTATCTCTCTCTCCTCTCTTCTCTCTGAACTCTCTCTTCTCTCTCCTCTCGCTCTCTCCGCTCTCCTATCTGACCCACTTGGGTGGAGATATTCTCTTAATTCAGTCATTCTCAATCTGACCACTAAATTGCACATAAGCAAAGACAGACGTTTTGTGTCAGATATGTTTTGTATGTTGTTTGGCTTTTGCTGATTTGAAGGAAAAAAAGCTGCCAGCAAAGTACTGATTTTAACATCTAAAATTTATCTAAATGAATTTTACTTGAGTTATGATTTTAACAGCCACAAGTGTCTGTCTTGAAGTTGTGACAGGTATCCAAAATACATTCAAATGCCACATCAGCTGTCACAACAAGCCTGCAGCCATCGACTGGCGGGCTCTTTGGGGGCTGTCACAGATTAATAAGGAGAATGGAGGCTGCTATTCGGAACTTCTTGGGACCTAAATTTTAATGTCAGGATGATAATTGCTCACACATGACATGAAACATGGTGCTGATTTAGCAGGTATGTTAATATCTTGGGTGCACATGAAACAAAATTCTTGGGGTCAAGCCTTCGTCTCTTTGAGAGCATCATGACTGTATTGTACACATTCATTCGTTCATCATGACTGAATGGTGAATCTATCCAATAACTTGTTGAAGATATCTTTATGTCTATAGTCTGGACAAAGTAGGTGGACAGAATGGCTGACATTGCCATCCCCAGCAACCATCTCACTAACAGGGATAAAAACACATGTGTTATTGCTTCTGATTTGTTGACAATAACTTTCTTCCTACATTTATATTTCTGTTTGCACAGGCTTGTACAGTATTGCGTCTGTTTCTGAACACATAATGTTGGTTAGCGTGTGGCCTGAACTCTCTCTAATTACCTTGATTACTGTTCTTCTCATCAGAGACTTGAGGTGAGAACATTCAGACAAACATTTGTTTATCACTGATTAACCAAATTGTAAGTTTAGAGCTGCAAAAATGCTTACCTCCTGTGCTTTATTTTCCAGGGACCAAGAGAGACCCACCTGGATACAGCACTGTGATTTGAGAATAAAAACTGAAGTGCAACCCATGTGTAAAAACAAAAATCTATCGAGCCGCCAGTTTACTCAAGTCGTTAGAGCTGCGACCCAATATAAGCAGCGGCCTGGTTCGAGTCAGATACTGTCGCCTTGCGCATGTCACCCCTCGTCTCTGCCCCCCCTTCCTGCTTCTACTCAGCCAATGCCTTCTATCCAACATAAAGGCATTAAAAATGAAACTTTAAAAAATGTATATGAATGCATCAGGGACTGTAAGTCAGTGTAAATTTGATAAGCTGCTGCTGGAGCTGGTCAGTTTAACTGTAATGCAGGACTGTGAATGTCTCACTGTTGGTTTTGCACGGCTTTAAACTCAGTGTGTTGTTGTGTGAGGTCCACTTAAACATTTCTTGACATCAATTTGTTATACAAAAGCCTGAATCATGATTTCATTCTGAGGCTCTACATGAGGTCTTCCTTAATGCATTGATTAAGCAGCACCCTCCATGGCTGATGAAAGAAGCCACCACACAACAAAAAACTACAGTTCCTTGAGCCTACCTTCAGGCTGGCTAAAGAAGTGATTAAT